GAAAGGCTTGTGGATCAACCAATCAAATTCAGCCAGGAATCTCATAGGAACAACTTTCAAACTTTTAGAATATGTGAGTATGTATACATCTGACTTACAGAGGATTTTTTGAAAACTATCTGGTGCATTTGAAATTTCGCATGTGTCAAAAAGGTTTTGATTCTATGGGATTTAAAAAAGTAATGTCTTTTTTTTTTCTTCACTGAGAATAATATTCTTGTAACATAATTTTAAACCAAATTAATTTTTTTTCACACATTTTTTTACGATTGGTAACAATCACCATAGTTTTATAAAATACTGTTTAAAATTTCTAAAGTACAAATATTCCAACCAAACCAAAGGAATAATGCAGTATATTTTTGTGATATGATCCAAACATTTTATTTGATACTGTTTTGAACCTCTTCTTGCACATCCTGCTACATGACAGAGGTCAGAGTTTTGCTTTGGACCATCAACCAGGTTATTGTGTAGACTTGTGTGAATAGTCTTTCACATACTAGTGAAAAGAGTACACAGATGCCCTTCCTGTTCTTGTCATTACAATTTCAGGCTGCTTCTGTCCTTAACTAGCTCTGGAGAGTGAGATCATACTTTGAAAACAGAGAAGAGAATTACAGCCCTCTCTCTTTTTAAAAGAAAATTGCCATGGGAATATAACACAAGCCATTGTTTCACAACTTGGACATGGAGAATTTAGTGTTTGTAACACTTATTTTGTAGAAGCTTCTACAAAACATCTCTAACTTAAGTGGTGGGGGTTTTTTTCCCCTCTCCTTGACCTAACAAATTGCTCTACTGGGAGAATTTTGCAACAGCTGGATTGTTCATTAATCAATGGTAAATTAGGAAAATGACCTAGGATTGGTTATCAGTTAGATTTTCAGTATATTGAAAAAGTTACATCAGCCTCCAGATACTGTAACATAAGGTAGTATAACACAGACGTCCCCAATTAGAGATCTCCTGGGGAGAAGAAGGAAATGGAGAAGAGAGATTGATGGCACCACGTTTTGTGGAATGGCATCTGTGAGGAGTCTGTATCATAGTAGTTCAATTTACAGCTATATAGCTGTGAATTTAATTCCCATGCTAGTACCTGAGTAGCTGTACCACACTGGTGTTGCAATCTTGTGCTAGTCTTACTAGAGTAATAAAAACCAAGACCTACTAAGCACCTTGTGAGATGATGTGTACCTCATCAGTTTTGACAGAATATAAGTGCACAGTTCCCTCCATTAAACAATGACATCTTTCCTGATGATTCAAAATACCTGAAACGTGTGGTCTAGAAGACCGTTCCTAGAAATCCCTGTAGTGGTGTCTACATCAGTATTGCTGTAAATAATGTTAAATACCTTTCATTTACCATTTTTCCTTTAAGCTTCAATTGTGGATTGCCTATCATCCAAGACCTGTGCTTCTTTCCAGTAACTGTAATGCTTGTATATGAACTTTTAGCCAGGCTTCCTAAGGAACTGAAGTTTCTATGATAACATGATCTATCTCTCCAGTTGTGTATCAGTTCCCTGTGCCCTGGTAACTCTGCAATTTGCTAGCCAAATTTAACTGAGTCTGAAGGAGATGATAGAAATCTTAACATGAAATACATTCTAATGTGGTGGTGGGATTTTTTGTTTGTTTTTGTTTGGTTTTGTTTGTTTGTTTTTTAAATTAATAGGTGGAAAGAAGAAAGATATCTTAATTAGTGCCTCATTTAAAAAGGTAGTCATAAGTCAGCTGTTTGTCAAACTGTTTAGTAACAGTCATCCAGTCTTCATGTATGAAGAAGCCAACTGGCCACAGCACATGGGTGACATGAAGGAATAGAGTAACTGAGATTACTACACTGGAAAGGCAGATGAGGACTTGAAACTGTAAGAAACCTGAACAGTTTTTCTTTTCACTAAAGAATGTGCCAGTTTTATTTGCTGCTGTGTACTTCTATCTGCCATATTGTGACTCCCTGTGGAACTTAAATTCACCCCACATAGGAAGTTTCTGTAATTTTTGTTTTAGAACTCATTGGTATAGCTACCAGCATTAGATTTCATGGTTGAAAACTTTTCTTGTTTTATCATCTTGAGACTTACTTTCCCAAAAAAACCCATAAAAACAAAACAAAAACAAACAAACAAACAAACAAAACAAAAACCAAAACCAAGAAAAGAAGTGAAAACCAGCCCAGGTATCTCCAGAATTCTGTGCACAAAATTCTGCAAACCTATGCTTGTGTCACCAGTTGGTGTTTGGGCACCACAGATCCTTTCTGTATGAGGTGGTTTGGGCAGTATTACCTCAGCTCTACGAGCAGAACTGCACTAGTCCTTCGTACCATTTGCATTTATTTTTGTTCTTTATTCCAAATTCCTAGTTGCTGTAATTCTTGAACAGCTCATCCCTTCCTGTTTGTCTATTGATATGAAAAAAACATCTAAAGAAGTGTCAGAAATTTCTCCAACAGACAAGGCTTGGGTGTAGGAGAAAGTGCTGGAACAGGACAACTAGAGGAACTAGGTCTTAAGGACATATAAAACAATGTAGTCAGGCTTCTTGTTTGGAGTACATTGCTGATAAGGCATTTGCTCCTCACTGAAGGCAGAGTGTTTGGAAGAGGTTTATTCCAGTGCTGCTCTGGCAGCTGTAGCCAACAGAAGTGCATGGAGGTGACTTGCAGGGCGATAGAGCCCGCGGGTGGACAGGACACTGTGGGCAGCATGGCTGTAGGGCAGTACAGGCAGGGGAGGCTCTGCTTCTGCTGCTAACTACATGGGGCAGTCAGCAGCTGAACAGGGAAAAATGAGCTCCACAGAATCACTCTGCTGCCAGAAGCAGTGCTATTTTGGGCTGGTGTCAGTTGGCAGTCTGTTGTGTCCTCCCTGGTTGTCAGGTCTTGGGAAGGCCAAGGGCTAGTGCTGTGGTTGGCAGGTGAGCATGCTTGGAGAGAAGGGGCAAAGGACACAAATATCCCTCATGCATGTCCTTGGGAAAACTGGAGTGCAGCCTTCAAGACAACATCCTCCAGTTTGGCCCTGAATGGACTGCACAATTTTGAATAAATAAATCCTGTTCCCTGAGGAAATGCTCAAGTCTTTGTGTGGAGCTTTGTGACAGCAGAGAAAGCTATTGGAAGGAAAAGTAATGCATAATTTACTTGTTCATCCAAGTTCAATAAACCCCTTTGTGTACAGTTATTGCCTTTATGCAAAATAAACATCTCCGACAATGAAACAGGTTACCGGAGACTAATCTACTTTCTTTACTGGTTCCTTAGCAACTACAGCTATGAATTAGTTGCCAAGCAGCCTAGTTCAGTGTTTTGCAATGAAGCAAGAAGAGAAAAAAGAGCAAAATAAAAAGGTGCAAGACTGAATTGTGAAGTTGAGTGCAGACTAATAAGCAAAAATTTGTGTTTTGTTTTGCAAGGTCACCAGCCGTTAGTTTTTCTCAGCTTTTCTTAAAATACACATATTCAAGATAGAAAGCTTCACTGTGGTTTTCTGGCAGTGGGGTGCAGGATTGTGCTGCCTGGCACAGCGGTGCTCCTGGGCTGTGAGCTTCTCCTGTATGGGCAGGAATGGCAACCTGAAGAGAGAGTTGGGACACAGAGCACCCCTCTGAGAGGCTGGCTTAGGCAGCACATGCTGGAGGTGCTGCCAGAGGTTATTAATGGTTTCTCTGTGTATTGGTGATGAGCAGCATTTGCACTATGGACACTGACAAAAATAAGTCAGAAAAAATGGTCCTAACTTTATGGTGAAAATCTTTTATCTATATCCATACTGTCCTCCTGACTGAAACAGGTTGCTTTTCAGATGCATAAGAGAAAAAGGTCCCCAGAGGCAGATGAGGATCAAAATCTGGGAGGGGTAGGCAGGAGTACAACCAGGTCTGAGAAAATAAGGGCTTAAATGGGGAGAGTTTACAAAAAGAAACAAGGTGTGAAAGGGTTGCTGGCCACTGTTCTGATCTGCTACCTCCACCGAGACCCCTCTTGCTGATCTGAGTCAGTGCCACAAGAATACACTGTGTGGATTCAGAGTGAGTGATCAGAGCTTTTCCTGCCTGTGAGAAGCCTTGGCAGAAGTCTGCTGGCAGGGTGGGCAGTATCTCTAAATGGGTCCCAGGGGATCACATGGACATGCCTGCCACAGCTGAGAACTGGGACCACCGATGGTGGGAGGAACTGGGAAAGCTACTGGAGACTTGACAATCCATCCTCATCTGTGGGGGCCTGATGTATGGCCACACTAGTATTGTATGTCTGGGGTCTGGGTCTTAACACAAATTGGTTTATGTCAGTTTCTTCCTCAGGGCATTAAGCTCCACAGTCCAGATGGTGGAGTGCCCTGGGTACAGAAACCATATGGTAGTATATAGGAGAGGTTCAGAAGGGGAGAAGAAATATGTTGTGCTATACATTTCTCATAATAATAGGGTCAATGACATTTAGTTGATGGCACAAATGACACCAAAGCCATGAGTAGGCATAATTAATGATGACAAAACATAGGTACAGGGCATATAGACTGCAAAAATTGGACTGCGTCACAAAACTTAAATTGGATCTGAATTTTAATGGTTTAAAATCCAAAGGCTTTAAGAAATCAAAAGTCTTTAAAGTTTTCAAAGCAGGGCACGGTACCCAAAAACTGTGGAGTGAGTAGTATTATTGCAATTACAGCATTTTGTGAATTATCAGGTCTTGGAGACCTGAGGTATTAGACCCGAGGCAGCACTGGGTACAGCAAAGTCTCTGTGGTTGCACAAAGAGAGACAGAGGGAGTGTGGGTCTGTCTGTTGGGAATGGAGAAGGGGGGAGGAGGGTGTAGGAAGTAGGGTAGGAATGGCCTCAAAAACTGTCAGCCCAGTACCGTATTTTTCTTTTCCTGTCCTAAACTCCAATAGAATGTTTAAAACTCAGTCTGCAAAATGTGTTTTTGTTTTACACTGCCCCCCACCCCCCTGAAAAAAAAAAGACATTTTTGTTATCTGACCTCACCAGAGCCGCATCCTTTTGCTGCTGCTGCTGCCGCCTTTTAATGATCATTTAAAAATGATTAACAATGCCTGGAGCCATGACAGCCTGACTTCCTGTGCTGAGCTTCTGCATGTCTGGATTTGTGGGAGGGAGTTCCTGACAAGAGAATTTCCTATAAAACAAGGACACTCGGGTCATTGTTGAGAAAAATGACTGCATGCAAGAGGTATAAGTCATGGACTAGTACAGATGCTCTGGCAGAGATATTTTTTTACTTGGTTAGGGCTACTTTTTTTTAGCACCAGAAACACATTTGTTTGCAATTTCTGAAGGCATTAGAGCAACAGAGTGACTAGCTGTCATTGGCTGCACAAATCTAATCTTCAGTTCCATCTTCTTTTAAAAAAAAAAAAAAGTAAAGCAATGGGAAAGTCTTCTTTAAAATCAGGTGGGATTACTGAAAGATTTCATGCAGGGAGATGCATGACAAAAGCTCACTTATACCATGGGGAAGTGAAGACTTTGTAGGATTTAGTTTCTGAAACAGTGTTCTCAGTATGTGATTAAATACTGTCTCAGAAACAAAAACTCCAGTGTTTGCTCTCTGCTTCTTCAAGTAGAAACCCAATTTTTACTGATTGCACGACTCCTGCACTATCTGAATTTCTTATGGTTCCTGGTCGCATCAGGGTTTCTTAAAGCTTATTTCAGGGACTATATTAAGCTTTGGTTATTTAGGCTTTTTTCTAAATGAATTGGCTCATCTTGAAAAGGAATTTTATTTTGGGTGGAAAAATGTTCATATGTGTATATAGGAAAGAGGAGGAAGTGCATTCACTGCACATTTTTGGACACTCCAAACTCGCCTCTCTAGCTGACATATGTTTTCTTCCGCTGGGGCACTAAATAAAGGAGAACTGAACGCTCACATGCCTGTAGAAACATGTGGGCAAACGTACTGGGCACTGTGTATTGTATCAGAATGATACGCCTCTGGACAGGAAGTTGTTTCTATAAAATCCTTGGTTTCCTCCTGGATGGCAGGGCTAATGGAAGGAAGGAGACCTCTCTTTTTGGTTACCAGGGAACAAGTGCCACAGTCCGGGGGGAGAGGGGTGGGAATGGGACCGTGACACAGCACGAATGGGTTCGGGGACAAGGTAGAGATGCAAAATGGGACCCTTTATTCAGGTGTGTCGGGGTTTTACGAGTTTTAGGTGGGGAAAGGGCCAGGACATGGGGTGGAGCATGAGACAGACAAACGGGGGAGCAAATCAGGATAGGGGCACAGGCGAAAGAGGGAGGGACTGGAGAAGGAAAGGGCAAACGGTACCTGTCTCCTCTCTGCAGCTTCTTCAGCCTACCAGAGAGGGGAGCGGGGGAAGCAAGGAGCAGGCAAATTCGTGGCAAGCCCGGGCATGTCCAGGCTGTGCACTGTGTAGTGTGAATACAAGGAAACCACATAATAACAGTAAAGCCTATATAATAACTGTAAGGTACATATAATAAAGTCCTGCCAATTACTGTATGCTTTTCTCCACGCCTGGAACTGTTCCCATCCTGAATCTTGCTCCTTCACAAACAAGATCATGGAAACAGCTCATATCCAACAGCAGAAATGCTACTGATGTGCTGGGGTTCAGTCATCCACATTTTATGCAGCCAGAGCCTCTTGAAATGCAAAAGACTGTATCTCACCTAACTGGCTCGTACCCCTCAATTAGAACATGGGTCTCCTTTAGGTTTCCTGTATCATCTCCAAGACCATAGAACCAGAATCATTTAGGCTGGAAAAGACCCATTGAGTCAGGCCATAAATTTACCACTGCCAAATTTGGCACTAAACCATGTCTCTAAGTGCCATGCCTACAAGTCTTTTAAACACTTTCAGGTATTTAAGTACAGAATCACAGAATCTTAAAATACTTAAGGCTGGAAGGGACCACTGGACATATTATCACTAGAGGTCATCTAGTCCAACCTCCATGTTCAAGCAGGGTTCCCTGCTACTCAGGATTGTGTCCAGATGGCTATTACATATCTTTAGGGGAGGAGACTCCACAACCTCTCTGGGCAATCTGTTTCAGTGCTCAGCCACCCACACAATAAAGCAGTTCTTCCTCGTATTCTGATGGAACTTCCTGTGCATCAATTTCTGCCTGATGGCTCTTGTCCTATTGGTTGGCATCACCAAGAAGAGCCTAGCTCCATCCTCTTGACACCCTCCCTTCAGGTACTGACATACACTGGTACAATCTGCTCTCAACCATCTCTTATTGAGTCTGAACAGGCCCAACTCTTTCAACCTTTCCTCATAACAGAGATGTTCCAGTCCCTTAATCTTTTTTGTTGCTGTCCACTGGTCCCACTTTGTGAGCTCCATGTCTCTCTTGTACTGGTGAGCCCAGAACTGGACACAGCACTCCAGGTGAGGCCTCAGCAGGGCTGAGCAGGATTACCTCTCTCAAACCACTTCCCAGAGCAGTGTGACAGGAATGAGATGTTGGAAAACAGTGCCATGGAAAGGGACCTAGAGGTCCTGGTTGATGACAAGTTGAATATGAGTCAGCAGTGCCCTGGCAGCCAGGAGGGCCAACCGTGTCCTGAGTGGCATCAGGCAAAGCATCCATAGCCAGTCGATCGAGGGAGGGGATTGTCCTGCTCTGCTCTGCACTGGGGCGGCCTCACCTTGAATATTGTGTGCAGTTTTGGGCACCACAATGTAAGAAAGGTATTGAGCTATTAGAGAGTGTCCAAAGGAGGGCAACGAAGATGGTGAAGGGCCTTGAGGGGCTGTATGAGGAGCAGCTGAGGTCACTTGGTGGGTTCAGCCTGGAGAAGGGGAAACTGAGAGGAGATCTCATTGCAGTGTACAACTTCCTCATAAGGGAAGAGGATGGGCAGGCACTGTTTTCTGCTCTGTGGTGACCAGTGACAGAACCCAAGGGAATGGCCTGGAGTTATGTCAGGGGAGGTTTAGGTTGGATATTAGAAAAAGTTTCCTCACCCAGAGGGTGGCTCTGGGTGCTGGTACAGGCTCCCCAGGGAAATAGTCACAGCAGCAAGCCTGATAGAGTTCAAAAAGCATTTGGATGGTACTCTCAGGCACATGTGTGACTCTTGGGGATGGTCCTGTGCAGGGCTAAGGGTTGGACTCAATGATCCTTATGGGTCCCTTCCAACTCAGCGCATTCTGTGATTCTGTGAAAATTAATCAAATTTATTCCCAGTCAAAATCAGAGTTGGATAATGAGAAATAAAACAAATTTAAAGAACACCTTCCTCCCATCCCTCCTTCCCTTCCAGCCTTAGCTTTATTCATAATTCTCTACCTCCTTCCCCAGAGTGGCTCAGAGAGATGGGTATCCTTTTGTCTGTGACATACATTCCTTCAAGACTCCCCCAGCATGTGTCCCCCATAAGGTCACAAGTCCTACCAGTAAACCTGCTCTAGTACAGGTTTTTCTCCCTACAGGGCCATAGGTTCTGCCAGGAGCCTGCTCCAGTGCGAGCTTCCTATGGGGTCACAGCCTTCTTTTGGGCATCCACCTGCTCCAGTGTGGGGTCCTCCATGGACGCTGTTGGATCTCTGCATTCCATGGACCTCCATGGACTGCAGGGGCACAGCTGCCTCACCATGGTCTTCACCATGGGCTTCAGGGGAATCTGTGCTCTGGTGCCTGGAGCACCTTCTGCTCCTCCTTCTTCATTGATCTTGGCATCTGCAGAAGTGCTTCACTCACATGTTCTCACTCCTCTCTGGCTTCAATTGCAATTGCTTTTGCTTAATATTTCCCCTCCTCCCTCCTTCTTAAATATGATATCACAGAGGCATTACTACCATCTCTGATTGTCTCAGCCTTGACCTGTGGTGGGTCTGACTTGGAGCTGGCTGGCATTGGCTCTGTAGGAATAGGGGAAGGTTCTGGCAGCTTCTCACAGAAACTACTCCTGTAGCCCGTGCTACCAAAACCGTGTCATGCAAATCCAACACATTCCACCCCTCACCAGTGTGAATCACATGGTTAAGAATGATCATTAAAATCCACATTCATTACACAGTCTTCAGTCACATCAACCAAGAAAAAAAATTGCATACGCAAAAATCAAAATAACATCATCACTGCACCATGAAGGACTTCTTTGATCTGAACTAATACAGAAGACAAATGGTGTGAAGGGCTTGTTGGTGCAATGCCCTATGTGTAGAAGCACAAATGTGAAATGCTTCAGTAATACAGTACAGAAATTAAGCTTGCCAAAGCTCCTTTTGACTGAAATTGTTATTGAATTCACCTAACCCCAAAGCATCAAAACAGACCAAAGAGATTATGAAATTGATGATCCAGAATTTAAACATACTACATAATGAATGTTTGCCCAGAACTCTTTGTATTCATTATATTTAATATGTTTTTTAGTCTAGAGTTGATGACAATGACTGGTTTTAATACAAAAGAGGTAGCATCTGTGAAATTGCACAGAGGTCAGCAATGTATCTGCAATGAATATCTGAGCAAGGAATATCTGCAGTAAACTGGGAATTGAGTTTTGGAGACCATTACACAGTGTTCATGGTGATAAAGGCAAATTTCTCATCTAAAATCAATTTCTTGATGACAAAACTTAGAAAATCTACTACTACCAAAGCTGGAATGGAAAGCAGCCAATTTGGCAGAAACAGATCTCCCAATAGGTTTCAGTAGAATATTTTTACAGTTTAGAAAGAACACACTAGTGAAAACTCTGAGTCAGTCACAGCTTCCATACCCTTCAAGGCTGAACTCAAGCTCCATCCCAAACGTCTTTCAGCTGCATATTTCATTTACTGCTGGACTTAAGCTCACTTACAAGATTAGAAAAGCCAACAGGCTTCCTCATTCCTTATTTGCATTAATTATCCCTTTTTTATCAATAAGTAGACAATATGTGTGCATTATCACACAAAAAAGTATTTCTCACCAAACAAGGAAATGTCATGATAAATATAATAGCTATTGCAAAATAGCTATTATATAAATATATAAAATATATATAAATATAATAGCTATTGCAAAACTACCCTTCAGCAAGGACTATTGTAGCTAAACAGTCATGAATATAAATGTCTTGAAAATGTCATTACATTTCCCCTGCTGATACCAACAGCTGAAACTTCTGACTTTTGCTCATTGATGATACAGATATCATTCTATATCTTTCTCTCTTTTTCTGAAGTGTTTCATGGCTTACGTAAGAGCAACTGAGACTCACCTGTGTGGCCCGCAGCCAGCACAAGTAAGGGGAGCTGGCCAAAAAAGGAATGTTGCTAGTTCTTTTGTGCACCTGGTAAACGAATTCCAAGAAGATAAATATTAGAAATTGAGCTGTTTTGGAATTTCTCTATAAAACTGTTGTGTAGTTCTTTTGGGTTTTGGGTTCTTTTGGGTTGTTTTTTTGTTTTGTTTTGTTTTTTTTTATCAAATAACCTTTCTTTGATACCAAAACTTTGTGTGAAGTTACATCCCTCTATTGACAGGCAAATTATCTGTAAGAGAAATGCATTTTTCTCATGTCCATGTGGCACAAGAACCTCATTTTCCTACAGCCCATTTGTGGCTTGATTACAAGGCTGCAATGTATTTGGTGTTGGCATTCTTGCTGTAGCCCCTGCTAGAGGTGTTCCATTTTGTATAAATACAATTTCTCTGAATGGGAAACTCGGTCTTTCTCAAACCATATGACTGCTGTTGAATAATTTTCCCATTCCACTGAAAATCATCTTTTTTTTTTTTTTTTTTTTTTTTTTTTTTAAATCACAAGCTGCTTCCAGTGGTCTTGGCTTCTTTCCAAAGACAGCAGAGAAATTGGACTTCTTCACAGAGTTCATTCACTGACTCTCGACCACGGGACATGGGAAGCATTTCACAAGCATTTAAACTTTAACTGTAGATCATTAAGCTGATGGCTGAGATATCCCAATGACAGCAGTTCATAGCAGGAACCTACAGCATGCATGTAGGATTTCTCCAAGAAACTAATGAGGTACCATCTATTCTTTCTTTTAAGAGTCACCTGTGTCCTCTTCTGTGGTGTATTTTATCCTACCAGCTAGACAGAGTAAATGCTAGACCATATGGTAAGCACAAAGAGACATGAAGTTAGTTCTGATGAGATACAGAGGCTGTCTGAGTTCAGGGAGAGAGGTCCAAAGAGAAGAGAATCACAGTGAAGGCCCATTACTTCCAGGCAGATGGCCTGGGACTACCATCTCCCCAGGGAAGGGGGGTGGAGGAGACTCCATGGTGCAAAATGCATGTCACAGATTTTGTGTGGAACTGATTCTCACCTGCTTTTATGAGGAATTCAATTCCTGCAGCAAGGTATCGCACTCCAATGGGCACTGGGAATCCTTTGGTCCTGCAACCAGGACACTGACTTACAAACTTGGCTACCTGCATCCTGTTCTGGTTCATTGTTTTCCTAAATGCATGTCTGAGATTAACAAATTGCACCTCTTTAATCTATGAATTTTCCCTGCTCAGACTTTTCTCAGGCTTTTTCAACTTTTCTCTGGATGATCCAGACTGAAGACTTTTCTTCTGACGTAATCAGAAAATGCAGAAAGATGTGAAGTGTGAAGAATTAGCAGAAATAATTTCTGTAGATTCGTATTGTATATTAACATTTGTTTTTAAAGTGTTACCAAAATCAGTTAAGAGGAAAAACCAATAATGCTTTTGATATAAAATGTCGATTTGCTTCTGGGCAGAACAGCTGTCACACATGCTTTCAGAGAAGGAAAAATTGATTACATTTATAGGAGGATATGTGTGCAGTGTAGCATATTGTCTTTATCCAACAAATGAAGGTTTTCCCATGAGATATGTTACTGATTCTCAGTGACACCATCACTGCTGCTTATACATCTGTTCTGCTTTTAACTGCAGTATAACTCAATCATCCTGGACAGATCCTCCTTTCAGATATACATTTCCTCTAAACCTATCAAGTCATAGGCATGACAACATCTGAACCTGTGCCAAGGCCTGTAATTAATTGGAGACCCACTTCCTCCCTCCCAAAATGCAGATCTCTGGCTGCTGAGGATCTGCCACTGACTTTCCACATCAGGGCTGAGCGTCACTGGCCACCCTACCCTGCTGTCACTGGCAGCAGCCGGGCAGACAGGGAAGGGCTTGCTCTATTCCGCCCATTTAATTCAGGATTTTCACTGGGGGGTCCCCAGACCTGCGCCAGACAGGACACTGTTTTTGAATTGGATTTTTCAAAACCACCTAAATCTTATCCTTGTCCAGTTTAGTGCTTAGATGGCAATACTCTGGAAGTATGTGCTCTGCAAATGGATGATTTCTGCAATTGTTCAGTGTGAAATTTTCCTTTTCTAGAGCATGAAACTCATACCTGTCAACTAAAATGAGTCTTAGTTTTCCCGTTTTTAGATGCCTACAGGTAGATTTATTCACTCAGCTGGCCACCTCGAGTGCCCTTTACAGTTAATAGATGTCTTTCCTAGGACAGCAAGAAGCCTTCTCCTTGCCTCTCACCAATCATGACACATTAAAGGGTGTCTCACCAAAACCTCAACTGTCTGGGAACTGGCACCATCCTCCAAGTGTTGGCTGTATCACGACAAGATAAAAGGCATATCTGCATGCATGCAGGCAAGCAAACACATGTTCTTATTCCAGTTATAGGCAGGGTTGGGGGGACTTCAGCGTCTTCGATGTGGGTGGCAGAGAGCATTCACACAGCTGCTTACCTGACTTTGCAGGCATACTCCAGCAGTGGTCTGTTTCAGTAACATGGCTGTTGTCTTAGAACTGGTTGCACAGTGTTGCTCCTGTGACTGCAAAACAGCACAAGTATGGCTATAAATAAGGGACATCAGATGTAAGGGCTGTTTTCAGAGAAATAAAATGTACAGGTTTCTTTAAAACTATTAAAGTTGCAGTATTATAAATGCCATCAGAATCTAGTCAATTCTGTTCAGAGAAACAATCTCTCTACATCTTGAAGGGTGAACAAGCAATCTCAAGCGACAGGGTACTCCATAAAGAGGATGTGGAGCAAGTTGCTCACTAAGATGAGGCAATGAACTACCAAATTCTTTTGAACAAAGAGAAGATAATGTAAAATGATAAATGATCTCAACAAGTAGTGAGAGGGAGAAAGTTATCAACATCTTATAGGCTTGAACTGTGGTCTATAGTTGGCTGACTTGTTAAATGTAAAAAAATTCTCAGATATAAGCAAAAAAAGTGTGTTGCCTTTGCAAAAGCATATCCCTCTTGTTTGACAGTTAAAAATTGCAAGAAAGAATAACGCATTCATCATTTTTAATCAATCTTTAGAACAGTGGCCTAACATCCTTTTTGTTTATAGCTCTCTTTTATAATAGTCAGTAATAAATATTTTAGAAGTTGACAATATATATAGTGTTTTCAAAAGAGAGGAATTTGGAGCAATGAATAATAACTCTTCCCAGCATGAGTGAGCAATAAAGATAATCACTGGATGTACATCTCTGCAAATACTCAATAATACAAATTCTACTAACCTTTCTATAACACATTTTGGGTGCAGTATTGCAGTCTTATTTTAAATATTTCTTTCTGGCTTAATATTTTTGCAAATTAATATTAATATACTGCAAATCTGAAGGAGAAATATCGGACCTACTGAGGTCTGTGGGAATTTTGTCATTAGTTTCTCTGGATGCAGAATTCCATGTTAGCTGAAGTCTTATTGCCCTGGTTTAATGGGCTTAGGGTAGAAGCCTAGAGGTTTTTAGCCAGCAAAAATGTGACAGCCTTTAACAGCCTTTCAAGTGAACTGTTAAAGGTTTAAGAAGAATCCTAAATGTTTTTAAGATAGGAGTTAAGTTTATAAATAAATTTGAAATTACTTTGTATGTTCCCAATTCCAAGACTAAACAGTTTGTCTGAGCCCTCGGTACCTTTAGGAACAGCAAGCTGATGGAAAATCAAGGAAAATCACTAAGCATTTAAAATTTCTGTGACTTGTGTTACAGGAGCTGCTGCTGAGATGGTCTCCCTGGTGAAGTTGAATTTCCTCTTCTAGTTCTCAGTTCATCCTTTAGAAAGGCACTATTCTTTCTCTCACTTAGCCCAGACTGCTTACGCTCAGGGCTTATCTGTAATGAGCTAATACATTTTGCCAAAAACTGCTAAGACACATGTTAACAAGATGTTGTCTTTAGTGTGGACAAGAATGGTTGTACTTAAATATGTTGTCTGGACAGACTTGATTCCACAGTCCTTTGGGATCTTACATCTGTGAAGTACTGATGGTTATGTATGTGTTCAATAAGAAAATATTTTCAGGTGCACAGAGAGGAAAATCAGTTTATTATTAATAGATGCATTCTGTGTTTGCTGCTTTCTTTGTGTCTACTTGATAATCTGAGGCTGAAAATTGTAGTTACCAGCATACAAATGAGCATTGTGTACCTCTTTCTTGTCTTAGCATTTCTAAAGACATTTTTAATTGAAGGGACTACTTATTCTGCCAGGTGTATGACCATGGGAGTAGCATTGCCACATTGTAAGACAGTGTCTTGAGGGCTATTAGAGGCTTAATATGAAACGCTAATTTTTCATGTGTCTTTAAATTCAACTACTGAGTTGGTGCTTTTATCACTACAGCTATCTGAAACACGCAATTTTACAAATTCAGGCCTTAACCAAGTTTGGAGTTGCTTGAAGTTTGTTGTTGAAACCCATTTCTCGAAGGCACTAAGCGCTAAGCTGAACCCAACCTCCATTGCAGTGGTCTGAGGACAAGGCTGCTGGTCTCAGGCCTTGAGTTTTCTGCATGCCATGCTCTGGCAGTTCCTACAGCATTTGCAGTTCCTACAGCATGTTTGTGGGGTACTGAGATGCCAGCTGCAGGGAAATCGATTTACTGAAAAGGTTTGTGCATCTTCTCTGTCCTTACCTGAAGACCTCAAGGAGAGTACCCCGAGAGGGGTAGGTCAGTGTGCATGTATCACAGAAATGTTCTGTTTTGCAACAGTAATGCAGAGCATGGTCTTGGGGCAGACTCAAACAGGATTGTCCGTAATGGTACCTGCTTGTCATTGCATCAAGATGGATACTCAGAGCCTGCAGTGGCTCGTTCTGTAGAGAGATGTGCTTGCACCACCATCCCTGCTCCTGGTAGAAGGCGCTACAAAACTGCATGAGGTAAATGAGCTGAGCAGGTGGTAATAAGAATGAATCTGATATTGCACATATGCTATGTAGCCACTGCTTCCTAGTGATCATGATGCACCACCTATCAGGCCAGTTTTTTGTATCTTTTGAGGAAGCTGAATAGTGCTGGTAACAACCTGTAATGACAGCCCTTGTGAAGCACTGGGTGAGCATATGCTGCATGAGCAGGTTCTCAAAGTAATACTGATGAAGCTGCTTTGAGTATCTAAGATATGTAATGGATGCAAGAGAGAAAAGCCTCTCTTTTATTAGGCCAAGTTGTAGCTTGAAAAAAAAGGACATGATCTCAGCTCAGTGATGGGGTCATTAAAAACTTTCAGCCATTAGAGCAGCGGAAGACATACTTAATAGGATAAAAGAGAAATTCTATGCAGAGTTCTTCATTCTCTGCTTAAATGCTAATTTAATTAATAAAACCCGAAACTTCTTCAGTGTCCTAGTTCCTTGTAGACAAGCAATAATTGTTTGCAAATTTGTCCAACAACCAGCTCACAAGCTTCAAAGGGAACTCATTACCAGGATAAAAATTCTTCAAATTACTTTCTCTTCCATCTGAATTATATTTATAATCAGTTCATAATGAAGTTCAAATCCCATCCTTCAGATCACTTCCACTAAAGTGGAAGAGCTGTGGTAAAATTATTCAAATCTGGCATGATTATCTTCTGATTATTCTTCCTCAGAACAGCTTACCCACTGACTTAATGAGTTTTTCATTAAAAATAAAAAAGAATGATAGAAATAATTGATTTATCAATACGGACTAGCTTATCTGATATTCTGATTCACAGGTTAGGATTCTGTTAGCATTCTTCAAAGGGAACAAAATCCTTCTGTTTTTATTGAACATCTATATGAATCAATAATGAAATGCTATATTTTTTAAAGCAGCATTAGCTGTGTAGTGGTTTGATGCTATCTGTAAAACTAAAATTACTTAGTGAGAAAACAAGTGTGTGCTGTTTTGTTTTGGGGTTTTGAGGGGTTCAGGTTTTTTGTGTGGTATTTTTGAAGATGCCAGAACCTCAGTTATTATGCTGGTAAGTTGTACTTCGAACTTCCTGCTGGTAAGCTGGGCTTCCTTGCAGACTCTTTCTCTCTCATGCTGGAAATCACTGATCCATGTACTGATCCATAGGATGATTAATGAGAAATACAGGATTAATTAACTATGGATTTGGTATTTTTTAAAATGTGACATGAACTTAATGCAGTATATCTGTAACGGCAGTGGGGTAGTTCCAAAAATAATTTCCTACTTCCTATTTTCATCTTTCTATGGAATTTAAGTGGTGAATTCAGCACTGGGGCTCAGACCTTGTGGCAAAAGGGATTTTGCTTCTACATCATCAGAATCAGTTGAAATTCCGTATTTTCAGTGGGCAGAGTCTCTGGCAGAAATAAGTGATTTTCAGGGAATGTTTCCATTAACTAGAGGTACACAATCCCTGAGAAAGGTAGTGTAGCTCTATCTAAAGGCATGGGTGAGTGCCAGAAAAAAAGCAGAAATCTTTTGCTACTCCTGCTAGCTTGAATAATCAGAAAAGAGCTATCAATTTTAATAGGAAATAACTTAACCAATAAGTTTGACCTCTAAGTAAAGAGATGGTGGCAAAGGAGGTAGTGGTCAAAAATTCACCTGAAATTCTGCTTGTAACATATGGTAATAAAAATGGGTTTGCCATCTTTATAGTAACAAATGACATACCAGCAAGACATACAAGTCTCATCAGAAATTACTTCCGTGAATTGTCAAGCCTGTTACAAATAAAATGGTTTTGCTTCTTAAGCAAGCAATGCAGGTGGGGAAGAGAGTGACATCTCTCTGATCCCCGTTCATTTCCTGTAAAATGCGTAGGGGAGAAGACAGTATCAGCCAGAAGAGATAAGCAATCTGCTTCAGAACAGCAGAAATGTCTTATTGTAGCATGCACATAAAATATCTCAGTTTGAGTTTGAAATAAAAGACTTCTCAGTAATACCTAGGAGCCCAATAGCATTATAGATGTAAGTAATTCTTAATTGTATTCTAGATGTAAGACTGAGAATGTCTAAAGATTTGGAGAGGCACAAAGAGTCATCAAGTCCCTAAAGTCCTTGAAAGTAAGTGAGAATTAAATACTGGCATTTTGACCTTTGAAATCTCTTCTTCATTGCTTTGGACTTCAGAATGGAGATGTTGACTATAAAGAGCTGGATTGGGTTTTGTTTTGAAGTAAGACATTTATTAAAATTATCTTTATAAAATTGTTAGAATAAATTACTTCAAAAGTTTTTTGCCTGGCCAGGTGCCCAATGGTGTGGTTACATAGGATTCCTTCCCACTGTTTTGCAAGCAACAAAAAAAGGGCATTTTTACACAATAAGCAAGTATTAGATGACCTGTTGCTGGGATTTTTTTGTGCATGTAGCAGTGGGCAAGGTGGCAACATTCTGACTGAATAAGAGGTTCTTTAAGATGTGAGCCTAAGCCTATAAAGAACATGGCTTGGTTTACGGAAACATATTCTTCCTGCATTCAGACTTCATTGCTGCTGGGGATTGGGTGCAGTGGGAGTCTGAGATAAAGTATCTTTGACTTTTCCTTCTGAAAATCAAAGCTGGACCAATACAATTCTGGAAAACTGGGAAGACTAAGGGGACTGCTTTTCTGAAGCATAGGACTATGTTTCAGACATACAAATAGATTCAGGTCCTGGCTTTAGCAAAAAGCCCTCATATGACCTTGGCAAGTGACCTAATCTCTGTGCTGTGGTGACTTAGTCTCTGTGTCTAGGTTAAGTGTTTGCAAAATGAGAACAACAGTACTGTCTTTGTCTTGTCTGTTCATATTGAAAATTCTTTGGTGCAGGAATCGTTTCTGTGTGTTTAGCGAGGCTCTTGGCATTCAGCTCTAGGTGCTATTTTAGTAACAGTACATCATTGCTTTTAGTTTCATCCCTAACCTTTTTGGAACAGAGTTGCATTTAGGAATCCTTTCTTTTAACCCCATCCTCACCTTGGGTGATTCAAAGACTAAGGGAGACCTCAGTCAAAGTCACACTTGCTTGGCAATGCAAGACAAATTACTTCCCTTTGGTAATCCTGCATGACCTGGCATTCAGCTCCCTTATGGGCAGAAATCCCACTAAGTGATCCTGCTTAGTTTGATCCTGCCAGCTTTGAAGCCAGCATATTGCATTGGCTTAACTTCCAGGGACTGGATTTGCAGAGTTTGTAGCTAACAATAAATTCTATTAACTGCCTCCATGGAGAAATCCAAAACATCTCAGCAGTAATAAAGATGGAGCAGAGATGCAGAGCATGGGAGGAACTGGAGACATTGCTGTATCCTAGGAGACAGCATTAGAAAGAAGGTGGAGGACTCACGGTGATAGCCTATTTTACATATTATTGGGGTTTCCTACTGGTCATTAAACGTGTCTGAATGGATGTTGTCTCTTCAGAACCAGGTGGAGAATGAGAACTACTCAGCACTAGTGAGGCCACACTAGGAGTATTTTGTCCAGTACTCTTTATCTTATCACAAGAAAAATAAGGAGCTACTGGAGAGGGTCCAGTGGAGGGCTACAAAGATGATGAGATGTCTGGAGCATCTCTCTTATGAGGAGAGACTATGGGAGCTGCACCTGTTCTGTCAAGAGAAGAGAAGGTGGAGAGGAGATCTCATTAATGCATATAAATGTCTCAAAGGCAGGTGCCAAGAATATGGAGCCAGACTCTTTTCAGTGGTGCCCAGGGACAGAACAAGGAGCAGTGATCATAAAGTAAACCAAAAGAAGTTTAACCTCAACATGAAGATGAAGTTCTTTACATTGAGGATGGCAGAGCACTGGAACAAGCTGACAAGGGAGGTCATGGAGTCTCCCTCTCTGGAGACATTCAAAACCTACCTGGATGAGTTCCTGTGTCACCTACTCTGGGTGACCCTGCTTGGGATGTTGGACTAGATGATCTCCAGAGGGCCCTTCCAATCCTAACAATTCTATGATTCTGCGAGAACAAGTGCCAAACTGACTACAGGATTTTCAGGTACGTGGGTCTTTTTAAAAGTGTGACACATCAAAGATGCTTTGCTGTTATCAGGTATGAAATGTTCTCAATTCTCAAGTGAAAAGAACAAACACTTAACATGCTGCAGCATCTATGTTTGCAGCTGACCTGAGATGTTGGCTCTGTTGAAGGCTGTGTCAAAATTCCCACTTACTACACCTAGCAGTTAAGCTAGCTTTCCAGCTAGCTAGGACTAGGTAGCATCTAAGATGACTAACAGCCAGCAATGAAAGCAGTGCAATTCCATGCCATATCCTAAAGAATCCTGACCCTCTGCACTCTCTGTGGGGCATTTTGCAGTGGCTCTGAAAGATGTTTGCTGAGAGCTGATTATTAGAGGGTTGCAGTAACAAGACATTGTATTAATAAGGGGGAAGAGAAGACATGTTGCCAGAGATGAGGTACATGTCTTGTACATTTTATCAATGCAAACAAAAAAAGTATCAGGGCTGTGATGCAGTTTTCTTACTGTGTCATGCTTAAGAATTGTTCAAGTTTGATTCTGAAGCTACAGCAAATTGTTGCACTTATCTGGGCAAGCCTAAATATTTCCCCAATCCATTTTGCTCGAGTAGGAGACACAGAATCTTCACTTTTTCACAGTAATGCCCTCTTTGTGTCTGTGACCCCCAAAGTACACAGGAAAAATGGTATTTAAGTGGGTATTCAGCCAGACAGTCTAACTGGGTTTTCCAATTGACTGTTGTTCATTTTTCTTACCAACTGCTCCTCCCTTAATTGTCCTCCATCTGCTCCATCATCTGAAGGAAGGAGCTCATGATAGAATGTAGTGGGTTGGCTTTTGGATTTTTTAGGCTTTCCTTAGCAATGGGGGTGAGAAATCTAAGGAAGTATTCCATATCATCCTTTAGCGTAACACAACATATAAATAAGGCGCAGATAAGAGGGCTCACCCTCTTCCCTTCCGGTGGCTCTGAAGGCGCAGGTTCCCTGCTGTTGGTTCTGCTGTGTGGGGGAGTGAGGCCTAGTGAGGCCTTGTAGACCCTGGGAGGTGGAGGGTGCTGGCGGTCCTTCAGCACGATTTCTGCTGTCCCAAGGAGATTAGTGAGATATTCTTTCGCTAATTCTCTATTCCGCTAGCCTCTGAGTTTTTCGATTGTGCATATCTGTTTTGTTTCCTCCCTTTTTATCCCTTTTTGTCCCTTTTTCCCCATTTTACCTTCCTCTCTTCCCCTTTTTGGGAGCTGTACATAATATTCTTACTGTATATAACTGTAATATATGTAAAAAATACATATATATATTGATATAATTTGGTTGGTTTAAATTTCTCTCAGTTTCTATAGTTTGTTTGTTTGTTTGCCTAAAGGAGGAGGGAGGGAAAAGGCTTTTGCTGAGTTTTGGAGATTTGGTGGGAAGCCAGCTCTAAATTTACTCATAGAATGAGAAAAATGGGGATGGAGGTAAGCCATTTTGAAGGAATTTTCTGTTTTCCGCTGACTAGATGGAGGCTCAGTAAACATATACTAGTCCACTCTAAAGAAGACTGTTTCTGAGTCTAATTCAATTTGCACAGTTCTTATACGTATCATTATATTAAATATCAAAAGAACTGAATAGCACATGATGCTGATTTTAACCATCTTCCTGAAGCTTTCGTTTTTTAAGGTTGGAGTTACCCAGCGAAGTAAACCACTGAGAAGTTACAAAGGAAGAAATGCCCATGTATCAGGCACGTGGAAAGTAGGATGGGACTGGATAAGTACGATACTTCTTAGGGATAAATGCCAAGACCTTACTTAGCCCTTCCTAAAATAAAACCCTGAAAGGTTACAGAGGAAGAAATGTTGATCCCTTCTTGGCAGCTTCTCAAATTCCTCTTTTAAAAAAACCTTAATTTTGACTCTGGAGCTGTCTGGAGTTTCACCCAATGAATGTTCTGGTTCAGCACAAAGTTTGTTAGTGAGTTGGGCATTCCACATTTGGGCCTTATGCTCTTGTTTTCAACTTCCAGCTCTGAAAGGTCTCTGACAAACGACCCAGGCCATGTGATTTTTCCCATGAGGGAAAAACCTGATGATAGGTACAGTATTAGATCTCTGCCTGATTTCAACAGACTCATCTGGAAAATAAAGTGTAGCTCAAAAAAACCTGTCCTTTCCTTCTGTGCTTCACCCTGTCCTCCTTTCTTTCTACGGTTATCTCTGAGCCTGGGAGCAGCTAGAGGGGAATGACAGGAATAGGAAACACACTCAGTTACAACCTAGAATACAAAACAGCCTGTGAGATAACTCATCTTCCCGAAGTAAAGCCACTTGCAAGATGTGTATCTAGTCTAAGTTAATCACTGTCTTTAGAGACCAGTGTTAATACCCATCAAATGCCTGGATCAAACTACCACAGGAGAATTCCCACACACCACTTCCTAAATGTAACTCCCTTTTGCAACTGCATTCTTCTCCTTGTTTTACTAGTTCTTTGTTTCCAAAACTATGCCAAGGGCTTGGCAAATATTTTCAATGCCTCTTATAATGAGGAAGAAAGCCAGGAGATTATGTATGAATCTGGGAATCTCCCATGCTAGGACAAAAGTGCACTGCAACTGAATCAGCCTCTGTTAAGCTTTGTATGGGCTGGGTGATATGCAGCAGAGAGAAAAGGGTTAGTTGAAATAGTTTCCCCCTCCACACTGACGTCACATAGATGTTTATCTAATGGCTGGTATGTGCCTATCAGTGGATTTGCTATGCCAGCAGAGCTCCCTGCACCTTGTATTCTGTGCTCTTGTCCTCCCCAGCCTGCACAGGGGGCTACACAGGGGGCTGCACCACCACTTGCTCTGTTCAGGGGTGAGGCTCCACCGGTGGCAGATGTGAGGGTTGATGTTTGCCTTATCAGTACAGGGTGTGCCCCATGAAATCGGCTGCAAATTGAGCCTGTTGCTTTTGTCTCTCATAGACAATACCTACCGTTAAGGAGATTGTGTTTCATTGTGAGCTCCTCAGAGGTTCGTGTGCCAGAACTGGCAGTACCTCAGAACTCCCTGTTGCAGCAAACAGTCTTCCTTTGCTGTTAATTGTGAAGAGTTTTCTTACAGCTGTAACCATAATACTTGCAAGAAAAAAAAATTCCAGCCATGTTCTTCCCTAAGGGAGGTCATTTTATATGTTTCCTCTGGATTCTCTTATTTTCAGCCATCTATATGAGTTCTTTCAGACACAGGAGGGCAGAACTGATTTTGGTCTTTTCTTCCACGTGGGGTATCAGTGGTCCTTGGACTTTTTTTCAAGGATGGATTCCCAAAGATGGTCATCTACAACTGGAGAACTGAATGCCTTCGTCTCTCTGTCTGCATGTAAAGGGGCTGGCCACTCTTCCCAGCTGGCTGCAAGTTTGTACCGGATTTTGGTTAAGGCAGAGCATGTCCAGGGAGGCTTTGCTTACTAGTCAAATACTGTGTATGACTAGGACTATACTGCACTTCCACACACTAATATCTGCACACTGTTTCATGGCTGAGGATTCCATGCCCTCATCTGATAACTCCTAAGCTTAATCTGTTTAGATGTCTCATTCCTCATGTCTTATATCAGACGTCTATCTCATTGCATCTTCAAGATCCAGCACAAAGTTATGATGTCCAGCCAATGTACTTCACTTTGACCACTCCATTGCTGGTGTCTAATTGTGTGTTACAATCAAGAAATTACTTCAGCTTACCCTTAATGCCCTTGTTCTCTCTCTTGATGTAGTCAGGGTTATGCTTGTATCTGTTCAAAGGAGACTATGTTTTGTGACTACTATGGGTTTGGTAGCCATTGCCATATGTCAGGAGAGATCATAAAAATAGCTATCAGGCATATCACAGGCTCTTGAATTTGTTGGAGAAAAAAGATGTGTTTCTCTCTTTTCTTGGGCTTGCCCTAGCAGTTGTCCCTTGTCTTCTCTTAAGAGGTTGCGTAAATGTGGTCACTTTTCACTGAGTCCAGTTCTTATGAGTTATTAATTCCAGTATGCATTCACTTTTCTTTTCCCAAGATAAGCAGGTATGTGCTAGGGAAAAAGTATGTTTTCATAAATTTTCTAAATGACGATAATCCAAAATCCTGTCTGGATAATAAAATGTTAATAGTACATAGAAAAGAATTCAAGCAGCTCGGAAACCTAAACATAATTGCTTATGAACATGGAGTGTTTATTGCTGTCAAAATTAATCACTTTTCAACTTCCAGCTGTTAAAATCCTTCTGGCATATCTCCAAGCAATTCTCCTTCGGTTACTTTTCCCTCAATTAAATATTAGTGCAGTTCTCAGGCTCTTGTTACATAAGGAGCAATTTCAAATTGCACTTCTCAGTTCTTTTAACCATAAACTGTCAGAGATTTATTCTGCTGCAAGGTTTTTTTCTCAACTCAGATTTTACTTGAAGTTTATACCAATGAAGGAGGAGCATTAATTTCATGTGAGTCTAGGCCTTAGTTGCAAAGTTTAGATGCAAACTTGCCAAGATGAGCCAGAAATTAGCTTTGAGGCTGGATGCTGCCAGGTGATTCGCATGTTGTTGAGGTAAACGGAAACTGAGTGCACTTGGCATTCTCCAAAATGTTTAGTACTTCAGCAGAAGCTCAGAAAGCTGCAATGGACACAGAGAATATCTCTGGATGCACCTCTGCCTCACACGTAATACAAAGAACAAAATAGCTAAAATGTAGGCACTGACAGTTGCACCACAGCAGGTGCTTGCAAGGATTGTTTTGAACCTTCATGAAAAACCACAGCATTATTGGATCTAAGATTGATATGTGAGCTGTAGTTTCGTTTTATATACCAGCATTTGTCTGTAGACACTCTGTGTCAGTAGGGATGCAGACAACTTCTTTGGGAATATAGGGTGAGAAAAAGGCCACGTCAGAGCCCTGGCGGTGTGTATTCAGATGCAGTCCAAGCAGTCAGGTTTATACCTGTGTGATAATAGATTATTTCTTCATCTCTGTCTGTGTACATAGAGTCAGGAATCCATGGCAGACTGATTTTCCTGTCTGAGCCATGACAACTAACATAAGGCTGTCAGGAGTCTACCAGCCTTAAAAACAACATTGAAATACAGTAAAAAAGAACAATGTAAGTATGGACAATGCTGTTTACTTACTTTACTTATCACCTAGCATCACCTTTTTTAAAGTCCAATTTTGGTGTATGTATTTAAAGGGGAATAAACATAATGATGGAAACAAAGAAATGTGACTCTTGTAAAATCTAATTCTGTTTCTGCAAACATGTGTCTTGCCCCGATGAGCAATCATGGTTTTGGCTGGACTAAGTGTGATATGCTCCTGTTTTTAAAAATTGTGTATTAATTTAGCCTCTTTTTGAGAAACAACAAGGCTAGATATTATTTTAGCAATTAAAAACATCTATGTTTACTTAGTGGGTATTTGTGTGGTATCTTAATTCAGACAAGCCAAATCATCACACAGGACAGTAAAATACGACTTCATTGCATAGCTGGAAGATTTCATTAAATGTCTGGTTTTGAGTGGAGTGGGATAAACCAAAAGTGTCTGAATACAGATCCAGTTAACTGCTAAAGTGACCTGCATGTGTTCAGCCAAATTTATGCTATATAAAGCCCCTAAATTTCCTGAGAACCATATTTTTTAATGCCAACAAGTAAGAGGGTTTTTTTTTCATCTGTTGTTCCTTCATCAGTCCCTTTGCTAACACATTGCTGCATCTGTGGTGTACCTTCTGTGCCAATGATTGCATTGTGTGTGATGTCAGGTCTGTCAGGGGAGATTATAGAAGCAAAGTGGATGGAAGCCATGGACTGAGCAGTGCGTGTGCACATTTTTGATTGCTAGCTGCACCTTTTGCTTTCTAGACCATTGCCTTCAATTTGGTCTCACTTCTTACTTTGTCCTGACTGCCTCC